GAAGATACTGCCGAAATACACGTGCATTTTGCCATATCGCCGCATATTCACACCTTCTCTAATTTTTATGTAAATCTGAGCCTAAGGGAGTTGCAAGACAACAATGATAATGAAAGAAATTCAATTATAAGAAGTAATGAGATAACTTTAGATTTGCAATGTGTGGTATTCTTATTGAACTATAGGTTTCTTTTAAAGAAATAATATTGTGACAGTATAGTTTATCCATGATACTTTTCATTTGTTTATTATTTACTGTGACTGTTCCTTTGGAAATTAAATTATTCGCCTAATCTTTTCCTCTCAATTTTCGAAATAATTATAAAAAAGTGGGAATATGGCATTAAGAGCATTAGATATCCCCATTTTCCTGAAGCTGTTCACGATTATTGTTTCATCAATGATAGGCCATGCACTCTAAATCCACTAGCAAATCAGTTAGTGAGATGAAAACGACCACTATGCGGACGAAAAGTTTAGGATAACTTGTTTTGTGAGTGCCTTAAAAAAGACAAACATTACCAAAATCATTAAAACAATTTCAGAATCTTGGCTAAAAAAAGAAAGCTGGGGGGGGAATGTTGTTTGAGTCCCAGTGATTCATTTGGACCAATATGTAATATTGTTTTAAAATTTAAGGTAATAAATATAAATTCGAATTTCGAATGCTAGAACAGTACGAGAAATTTATTCAAGTTAGGAATTCTGAATATAAGTAAACTGTATATTATGTTTTAATAACTATGGTGGCGTCATTTATGAAAAATTTGCATATTGGCTGTTTTTTGTACAATGAACCTTCTCTAAGCTAGCTATACGTGATTCCTGAAGATTTTGATCTCAATGATATGGGCATCGAAGTTATTTTACTAATTAGTTATTTATGAGGAATGCTGTAGATTTAAAAGTGTGACAGGGGTAATTTGTCGTAATGAGACGGTTCACTGTAATCCAATATTTAAAGAATTTAAGCGTTCTTAATTTCTTAGATATTAAAGAAATATGATAAAGTGTTATATAACACACTTTTAAACATCTATTAAAATAATTTTTATAAGCTTTTAGAGCATGGTTATGATTTTAAAAAAATGTCTTTTTTCTTTATTTAGGAGGCTGGTTTACAAAGAGGGAAACCTTCATTTTTTCCAAGCAGTCGAAACGAACTTTTTGAATGTGTATATTGTGTTATTTAATTAATTCTTTTTTCAGATTTTATGTCAGTTATGAATTAAAAATAAATAATTTTTACTTCCTGTATTTTAATTGCATATTATTTGCTTCATATTTTCACAATAAAATTATAATTCAATAAACTTTTTAATTAACATACTGCAATATATATATATATAGAGCATAAAGTTTGTTTTCTGGGTCACATGTATATTTCACAATTTTGTATGCAAAGAATACTCTTTAGTATCACTTTCTAAATGGTAAATATTAAGCTTAAATTTATTACATATCATGTTTGTAAAAAATTATAGGTAAAATTAAAATGCATTAAATTTTAAGATAAATTGAAGTATTAATTTTTGAAACAAATTTGTTAAAGGCGTAATTGTATTAAGCATTAAGAATTTTAATGGAAGCAAGGCTCTGAAAATTAAGGTCAGTTGGTGAAGTTTATACTATTAAAAAAACATGACATTAGCTTTTAATGAAAGACTTCTATCTGTTAATTTAAAGGAATTATTTGAAGGTAAGTTAAAAACGTTATGCATTTTACCATCTATTATTTCAAACATAGCAGACTGTTGACAAACACTAAGTGCAGATAAGAATAAGAAGATTACTTGGACGTTGTAATTGCAAACGTACGAACAAAATTTTGAATTACCTTGTAGTAACAAAATTAAAGTTCATTGCTGTGAATTGTGTTATTTTACTGAAAATGTCATTTTTAGAAGGAGAAGAATATAATATTTTTGAAACATGAAGAACAAAGCTGTTCTGGGTTCTTCATAGAAATATTTCACAAAATGTCTTTTCACTGTAATAATATGTGATCATCTCAACATGCAGCACGTCATATAAGTTCAAATCTAAAGCAACATGTGTCTATTTTAGTTAAAATTACTAAAAAGAAAAGTTCTAGAACATATCTTAATAATTGACACTAAAACATGCAAATAAGCACATTGTTTTTTTTTCTCAGCTATTTTACACAACAAGCCAAATATAAATTCCAGAAATGCCATTTCATTATTTATATAAAGGATATAAATTTTTTATTATGTAAGGAGTAGCATATCAATTTGAACTTAATTATCAAATTAAGCTCAAATCGTTTATTAATCAAAATGATATATATATACACACAGATATCATTGTTTTATTCAAAACATATTGATTTCAATGTATTTTATATAATAAGCATCATTTTAGACAAAAATCTATTACTTTTATAGACATATTCTTTAGTATTTCATCTATGAAAATATATTCTACACACATATATTAACTTAATGAGATATTAGAAGGAATAATCTGAAACCTTTACAGATACAACCATTGGAATTTTACGTAAGAAAAGTATTTTTCTACTCACAATAACTTGCTGAATAATACAAGCAAATAACCTGTAACGGTTTACAGATATATCTGTTGAGATTTTACATGAGAAAAAACATGTTCTTTTTACATAATTATTTGCTGTAATATTACACGCAAATAATCTGTAACCACTACAGATATATCGTTTGGGAATTTACATGAGAAAAATATGTTCTACTTACATAACTATATGCTGTGATATTACAAGAAAATGATCTGTAACCATTACAGGCAAAACTCTTGTAATGTTACAAAGAAAACACCTGTTTCTGTTACCCAAATAACCCATGGCATCCCGGTTTCCATGAGTTTTCTTAATAACCTTACAGATTTTTTTTACAGTGTGTGTAGTGAATAACATTTTTTATATCATCTATTTTCTTTACGTTAATGACATTCATCCCAAAATAGGTTGGTGCAGAGGAAAGAACTATTTCTACCTCAGGTCTCTTGAATTTTAGATTTTTTAATCCCGCACTACGCCCCCACGCTGTGGTGGAGAAAGGGCTCACAGGCTGGACATGTTCCTTTTCAACAATAAACCACCATCTTCGACCGCTTGCCAGTACACACAGAGTTGAATTAGAGATGTGCATCTTCAACTCTAAATGCATCTATATTTGTAGCGTGAGAAAACGTTAAAACCTCAAAATCGACAATATACGGACATGTGCCCTCTCAAAAATAATCGATTCATTTTAGGGCTTTGCAATCTGTATCTTACTATAGGATTTTATAATGAATATTAAATTTTGTTTAGGCTGCAGACGAAAGCATGCAAAAAAAGTACAGTTCGAAGTGTTATGATCGGCATGTTTCAAGATATTAGAAGTTTATTTTATTTATGGTATTCAAAATATAAAATAGCAGAACTACTAATAGTTGTAGAATGTTAAGAAGTTCAGACAATGTAACGTTTTAATTTATTAAGTTATTGTGTATTAAGTAAAGAACTTTTATAATATTGAATAATAAATGAAGGATCTTATGCATCATCGAATGGTGACCGCGTCTAGTGGTTATGGAGACATTTTTATTGCAAACTGAAAATAATAATACCTCCTCGAGTTGTAGAAAAAAGGTACATATTCATTAAGATTTTGAATGACTTTAACAGCTAGTGTACGAAATGTTTTATTTTTCCTTCAATTTGAAGTTGCACGACTTAAACAGCAAATAAAGACATGTAATAGAATTTAAAAGGAGATTAAATTCCTATAAACAAAAGATATCGAAAGTTTTCCTAACCGTTTAAATAATAAATAAAATGTCAAGTACAGTAAAACATATAAAGGCGTAATAAAATAGGTACTCAATTTACGAAGAAAATTTTAAGTTAACATAAGCCTCTTTGATCTTTCTTTATATACTTTGCTTAAAATATAGAGAAATTAAAATTTTTCCAAAATCTTCAGTACTAAACAAAAGACGGGATTTAAAGTAGTTATTGTTAGAATAGTAACGTTATTGCAATATAAATTTCTGAGATTCATCTCATGAGTTTTAGGAGATTTCCTAAGATTTCGCGAATATCAAATTTTCCTGCTAATGTCGAATAATACGGGTTAAATGCGCAAACTATGGGTTTTTTCCAGTTACATTTTAAATCAATGTAATAATTATTAGATTAATTTTTAAACAACTTTTATGTTATATTCTTTTGGAATTTTTCTAAAACTACACTGCTAAGTAATCTTACTCCAAAGTTTAAAATGAGAATTTTTAATTACTAAAATGTCTTACTGGTTTTTGGAACAAGAGAAAAAATCGTTTACTTAAATTACAATATAGGTGGTCCTCGTTTTTTTTTTTTTTTTTTTTTTTTTTTCAAAATCGGCAAATAATTTCAATTTTGTAACATCCTTTATTAAAATCATATTAGTAATGAAAAGACGTATTAACGTATGACATACTATTTAACGAAGAACGCATGTATAATATACTGAGTAAAAGCACCATCCACTTAATAAATGATAATCTTGATTTAAGCAATGCTGTCGAATTCGTTTCTCTATTTAAATGTAAATTTACAAGTGTCTAATATAATTTTTATTATTTAGTTACATACTACTTCTTAGTGCTACTGCTTCATTTCTTGTGCGTTCCCCCCCCCTCGAAATGTTAATGAAATTCTGAAACACGGAATTTTTTTATGAAAGCAGTTCGTGTAAATCCAAGCCGCGAAAGTTTTGCGAATTTTGTGCTAATTTACTGTGTTAAAAATGCAAAATATCTAGTTTTCTATAAAATATCAACAAAAATTTGTTTAAAATCTGTTAAAAACTAATTTAAATTATTTATGAGAATCAATAAATGTCACTATGTGTTGTATTAAATTATAAACAGTTTTATAATCAGAGTGTTAAAGAAACACAAAATTAATTTAAGGCAAAAATTATACAGCAATTTAGGTACGAAAATATTTGAAATATTAATCATATACTTACGAGCTATCCATCTCTGTAAATCATTTTCTGATACATCACAACTTGGTCTTCTAAACAGTATTACGTTCTGCTTCTGAGCCAGTTCATGCTGCTGAGTACTTTTATTATTAAACTGCTGAATGTTGTTCTTATCTAAAAGACAAAATCATTTTTTACAAAATGGTAATTGAAAATTAGGTAAATAGCAATAACATCAAATAACATGTGAGGGACACATGAAAAATAACAAGACTAAAGTTATATACAGCGTCGAATAAAAACCGTTTCTTAGGAAAATGCCAATGTCTCAATCGGAAATTTTAATTTTAGTTACTTGAAAATGTGTCATTACGATTCTTTCCTAATTAGATTTTACAGTAGAGGCCTATATTATAGACATGTTTCTGTGACCCAGTCATTAGTTTAAAAGTGAATAAAATAGCAATTAGCGTAACTAATGCACTTCGGTGCATTTTAAACAGTTCTAAGCAATTTCCATCGTTTTTATTCACGAAAGATAGTTGAAAACTTTGCGTCAAAGATGTTTTTAATATTTCGTAGACTTTTATCATCTTTAAAACCGCCAATAATTAAATTTCGAATAGAACTTGCTTTTAATATCTAATATCTTGCCATGTTCACTTCAGATATGGAGCTGTTAATATATTATGCTAAACAAATAAAAATTCCCAATGTGTGTGTGTATTTTAATTATGGCAAAACACACGAGGGCTATCTGCCTAAGGGGAGGGATGCCTTCGTGGAGGACTTTCTAAAGGAAACTGGCTCGTATACACGTTACACATGGGGAAAACCAGGAAAACGCCCATGCAGCCAGCCCGTTCGCGGAATTCGAACCTCGGACCGAAAAAAATTCCCAAATGCATAAAATAATTCTTATGATGCATTTTTATTTAAAGCAAAAAATATAACAAGAAAGATCGTCTTCCAAAACATCTCAACAAAACTTTCAAGTGTCCGAATTGTTATGTGAGTTATTGATGAATACATTTGAAATAAATTATTTTATTGCAAAAAATATTTTGATGAATTCATTTTGTAACAAGCAAGTCTTAAAATAGAGAAAAATAATAAACATATGTTGTTTATGTTTCAAGATGCAAAATATATGAAAATAAATTTCTGAAATACAAGCGTCTAAAAACAAATGTGACCCACTGTATGTGAAAGGTGCTCTATGTAATGCAAGAGGTTTTGACCAGCACAAAAAATTTGCGACTGGTGAGAAATATTCATAAATGCTCCACGCTCCGGCAAGCCATTAATTGCTGTTACGGAGATGTTAATGCAATAGACATATCTGTTGGCTTAACTGATAATTTTAAGAGAAATTGGTTTAAGTATACTGCGCAAAATAAACAAATAAAATAAAATAAAAAATTACAATGAAAAAAAATATGAAAGGTTTCAGATTTTAAATTACGTCCTCCAAAGGGGTGTTTTTTTTAACGTTTTGTAAGTTACCTTTATTTATTAAATATCATGTTCTTCGCATTTAAACCATAAATTTAAGTTCAATAGCAATGTCGCAAAATAATTTTAAAATGTGCCTATCTTTAGAATTTCCGATACACAGTTCCTCGCGCTGGAGATAAAAAGGTTTTTTTTTTCCCCGTAGATTGTTGCCATTGCTCGCTTTCAAATTATTGAGTTTGTTACTTAAAAATTCGTTGAAGTTTTACAAAATATGAAATCGATAATAAAACAAATTTCAATTTGTTTATATTTGCAGTAGGATTACGTCATTCAAAATTTGATGGCTCTAGGTGCTGTTTTTTTATCACAATGCGAGAAATATATATATATTTATGCAGATTTTTCATTATTTAATTTCTTCAAATATAATGCAGGGCTCTAACATTTGGTGGCAACAGTTTGAAACGTGAAACGGACATTTATAGTGATTCAACGCAAAATCACAAAACGAAAACAATAGTCCTTCAGGGACAGAGCCTCTTTGGATGCCAGATTATGTAAAGTATGGTGCAAAATTTACGGAGAAATTCAAAAATTTTATTTTGGCGAAATTGTTTTCAGTTTGGCCAAGAATAATTCACTTGGCGAACTTCTGAATATATGGTAATCAATTTTACTTTCCCTTCCATTATGCCGAAGCGGAAAAAAAGGCACCTCGTTCCTACCTTTTTACATTGTGCAGGAGTGGAAGAAAAAGTCACGTCGTTTCTACTTCCAAATAATTTTAAGCAAAAGGGCCTAAACCACATTTTATGTTATTATAGCTTTTGATAAATATGCCAAATTTCAAAAATCACGTCAATATATAAAATTCACGTATATTTTCGGAAATTTTGAATAAAAAACTGTAATTTTTTGCTGGTCTGCTTAGAAATACATCTACTTTAAGATGATTGGTAAAAATTTCAAAGATTATAATTCAAAATTTTTTTCTTTTGAAAAATTTATAAAAATTATTTAAAATACAAATTTTAAAAATATCAAAAAATGGACAAATTTTATTTGGTAATGACCTGAATTTCGAAATGTGAAGTAAGAATCAAATAAGCTTAAATAAAGAAAGAGGAATTAATCAATATATATACAAAACTCAATTAATACTGAGCTAAAATTTTGAGAGCTAATTTTTTAAAAACCACTCGTTCGATTTTTAGAAAACTTGGTAATTTGGCGTAATTTTAGTCGTAGAATTAAAATATGGCGAAAATTGGTATGTTATTTTAGAAAAGTCCGATTTTGTGTCAAAATATCGATATTAGAACAGTGTTATATATAAATCTAATACATATCCTAAATTGCACTTTCGAGACATGAACAATGCAAGTTGAATTTCATCAATCGGCCCAGTAGAACCGGAGATATAGAACTGTCCCTTTTTTACTTCCTTGTACGAAGTAAAAAGGAAGTATTGTAATCGCGAAAAGTTTCAGGTAGCATATTTCAATGAAAATATCCATTTTGACCGCTATCGAATGCAATTTAACGATGTTTTTGCGTAATATCTGTACGTAAGGACAGAATAAAATACTCTTTTCCACCTAAAAAAATTATAAAACTGCTTTACAATTAATTCTGAAGAGAATTTTTCGTGGCGTCTGTACGAACGTATGAACCTACGTGCGTACGTACGTCTCTCGCATAACTCAAAAACGAGTAGCCTCAGAACGTTGAAATTTTGTATATAGGGCTGCTATAACATGTGGATGTGCACCTCGTATTTTGCTTGCTATCGGCCGCACCAAACGTATATAAATATATTTATATATATATCCACTCTGTTACCCGGCTCAATGATCTCACTTTCTTTACTCTTATATGTTTGTAAATTGTACATTTTTTGCTATAAAAATGCTTGAATTATGTTATTTTTATCTTCCGGTTAAGGTTTTTATGCCTTTAGTAAATCTGTATGCAATATTTTTAGAATTATCAACAATTTTAAAGTTGTTTAAGTGCCGCTAAGCCTTTTTTTATGGCGGCCATTGATTGTTTACATTTGAAACAGCAGACTAGTGGATTTGTTGCCAATCTAGAGAAACTTAGCTTCGCAACAACAAAGACAACGCCTTCATTTATTATTGCCAATTAAATCATGCTTAATCCTTTCTGGAATTTTTTACGAGGAAATAAGTGTTTAAGATTTTACTTCGTAATTTTTAATATAGATATTTTGAGTTTTTATGTATTTTTGCCTTCCGCGAAGTGAGAACCTGAATTAATTGAATGAGAAATACTCAATTGTCTGTGAAAAACTGTTTTCTTTTTTGTTTGGTTTTGCTTAATTCTTTATATACATCATTCTAGCTTTATTATAGTATTTGAATAGAACATGTAGCAACGATTAGATAATTTTCTATTCTTTAAATGATATAAATTTGTGTGCATTATGAGTTATAATATGAACGAAATATAATACTGTTAAGTGAATCTAGCGCCAGAGTGTCGCTATGATAAACAAATACTAGAGTGAATTTTAAATAATGCATTTATTCTATTGTGGTTTATGCGCTGTTGGCGAAGTAGATTTAATTCAATTCAATAAGTTTAAATGAAATGCAAGAAAAAATGCGTATAATTTAATATTCCGTACAAGGAAGTCATGTGGTGTACACATCAGTTTTTTTTTTAGCAGTGTACGTCGCTGCAAATGCTTGTGGTTTGATGGCTAAGTGGCAAACCGAAGAGACAAACCGAAGAGACATTTTGCCGCCTACTAATTATGATTAGTTAAAACTTGCCAGTTAGCATTTGCTCTTTATTTCCCATTTAGTGGAGTGAATATCTTCACTCCTTCTTCTGAAGGAAAGGATAGATTCTTCTCTAGCAAGCAAATAAGCAATTTCATTGCCTTTCATGCTAGTGTAAGATGAACCCACTAAGACCAACGTGAGAATAAGATTAAGAACTAAGAGCATGTCTAACCTCCTTGATCTTTATCTAATGATTTGGCATTTATATCTTTTCCGCAGTTTACGACTATGCTTTTAAGAATTATGTGGAACTCTTACTTTCGTTCATAATACAAACAGACACCTTTTCACATTCGAGAACAATGTCAAATGCCTCTTTTATTGCTGTAAATTTTGATTTGAATCCTGATCTGGATTGCTGAGGCTACGTTAATATCATTTTATGTAGTTTTGTTGAAACCACTCTTGTTCGTTTTGCCTATAACCAATCTGTATCAAATTTACTGTCATTAATACAGATTAAGAGACACCCTCCTTAGGCATATATAAGTATGCTTTAATAATCCAAAAATCCAGATCATCTACAGAAATGTTATGTAGCATGTTTCATCATAACTAAAAAATCAGTGTCCAAATGCACGCTGTATATGAAAATGTTAGTGATGCTTTTAAGAAGACGAATAAGCTAAAACAAAAGACAATTTTTATTAAAAGAATATCATATTAACAAAAGAGTTAGAAAATAATTTTGTTATTTGATTATTCATTAAACAGTTTTAATATAGATAACTTTACTTTCTCATCTTCCCTTTTCTAATCAATGTTAGACTATATGTCCACGAATAATTACCACTACATCTTTATATAAGAGATTAATTAAATAATGATCTTTAATAATAAGATACATAAATTTAATATCCTAGTAGGTACTTTATTTTTTACCATGATATTTTCTACGATAGTGTT